CCTTTGATGCAATAAATCTTCTTTTGATTGTTTGTAATTTTCTTCGAACAAGACCATTGATTCTGATTTGATTAGTAAGAATCCTTAGCTAAGAATTAGCAACATGTACTCTGTAAATGTGCTAGTGCCTAATAAGAGGTTGTAACATCCATTTCCCGTATACGTTCTTGTACACGAGTTACAGATGTCACATGACTTTTAAAACATTTTTGTACTTGAAAACCAATAAAATTTCTTTCTTTAAATAAACGGTTTAATAATATAGTTTATAAAACGTTCTTCAAATACATAAATATAAAATAACATTTAAAATCCATCAAATAGTAGTTTAAGTTCAAATGTAATATAATACTACAACCAAATACCAAATATCTTATCTGAGCATCACAACATATCTAAGTACATGCTAACTAGTAATATCGCAATAAGCATCTAGAGATGTCATACTGTTACTGATGAGGCAATCCTTGACAAATGATATCAACTACACTCCTCACTCCGATTTGTACACTAAACCTACACGTGAAAATCATCACACGCTAAGTATTCACTTAGTGAGGCATAATAAAACAAATAAGGCATTTTAAAAACATGAGTAAACCATTATAAGATCAAAATACGATTTATTATATAAAATACATAACGCATAAAAACTTACTTGATAACCAAAGTTTCCGTCAAATAACCCGCAAAATGTTATCTCGTATGCCCAACATACTTAACATACAATATAATCCAAAATATCCATTTTCAGGCCAATGTATGATAGATGAGAATGCAAGGTATATGAGTTGCATATAAGTGCTAAACTAAAGTATAGGTACTATAGTAACAATGACACTATACTAATATATCGAAATGGTAATTCACAAACCCGTTATGAATACCATGCATGCATGCACAGGTACTCCCAAGGTGAAACACTTGGTCTGATAAAACCTTAATGAAATAACTCTTGTAACCAAGCCTTTAGTTCTCTTAATTCAGTCAGAGCCACTTGATACGAAACCATAGAAACAGGCTCAATACCCTGATAACCATCAATCTTGAATTCAACTTCTCGATCCAGAGTTAACCCATGTAATTCATCTGAAAAGACATCTACAAATTCCCAAGTTGTGGGAATATCATACAATATTGCTTCAGATATTTGAGTATCTATCACAATAGCTAGAAAAGATATACATCCTTCTGACACCATTTACTTCACAATCATTGTTGATATCACATTGGGTGGCGATTTCGCTTTTTCACCAATCACTATAATTTCCAAATCCTCCGTATATTTCTGAAATAATTGTTTCTTGGGACAATTAACCCAACCATAACGCGGAGACAACAAACCCATGCCCAATATGATCTTAAACTCGTCAAATGATAATTCTATCAGATTCATTGGGAACATAACCCCTTGAATTTTTATCGGATGTTTACTACTTGCACCATGACCCATAGGGTTTACTGCTATCATATCACTTGATATCAAGTCTAACAGAATACTTCTATTTTAAAATTTCTTATTTCATTCTTGAGGTAATTCGTATAACTTTTCAGGATCCATTGAAAATATTCTCGAGTAGTTTAAACATTTTCCATCTCAACTATAAAAGTCTAAATGTCCACATCATTTAATAAGAAGACATTAAAATTTTGTAGCAATAACGTCATAGCAGTTAATGCTAAAATCACATTAGTAAACAAAATTACTCATTTTCCTACCACTATGAACTCGAAACTTTTCAAGTTCTTGAAAATCAACCGCAATCTAAGTGATAATTCATTGTAACATGGAAGGGGTAGACAATCCATTTCACAAATTTACCTTTCAAGGTAACTCTATCAAATCCAAAAAACTTAACATCTACTCTCATTCAAACTAATTTAAAAACCTTCAGAATGATAATATAATTATCATATGATTCGCTAATAACTTAGCTTTTTTAAAACTTTTAGTGGACAACTTACTTACTTCTTACTTATTTCCTCTAACTCAAATCAACATTTTTTAAGCAACATAATGCTTAACTTAAATATTCCACAAATATTTAAGCTTACCAATAGAAACCTCAGAGTAATCAATAGATTCAATAATCTCCTATGGATCCTCATCCGATTCAACTTCTCTTGTAATCCATTTAAACTTGTTAATGGATTCCTCTAATGCAAGAACTTTATTAGACGTGGGGCATTTCTTTCACAGAATGGAGAAAAATCCCTTACAGCTCCAACTCTTCTAAGGAGTGATACTGAAGTCATGTCTAATCTTTTTGGGTCGATTTCAATCTCTAACTTCCTTTCAACATTACCAACTTTCTTACCTTTATCCTTAGTTCCCGACGTCTAACACAACACACATAATAACAACTTAAGTTAGTGATGATAATCATATCATATTGACACAATATCAGTAAATTTGCATCCTAGTGGAGCGTACACACTTTTTACATAAAATACACTCATTTTCGGTCGAAAATCAGCTAAACCTGGCTCTGATACCAATAAATGTAACACTCATTTTCCATCTGCGTCCCCGTACACAAGTCATAGATGTCACATGATTTTTAAAATATTTTTTTACTTGAAAACTAGTAAATTTTGTTTCTTTAAATAAACGATTTAATAATATAGTTTATAAAATGTTCTTCAAATACATATATATAAAATAACATTTAAAATCCATCAAATAGTAGTTTAAGTTCAAATGTAATATAATACTACAACCAAATTGCAAATATCTTATCAAAGCATTACAACATATCCAAGCACATGCCAACTAATAATGTCAAAATAAACATCTAGAGATGTCATATTGTTACTATGAGGCAATCCTTGACATATGATATCATTTGCACTCCTCACTCCAATTTGTACACTAAACCTATGTGTGAAAATCATCACACGCTAAGTATTGATTTAGAGAGACATAATAAAACTAATAAGGCATTTTAAAAACATGAGTAAACCATTATAAAATCAAAATATGATTTATCGTAGAAAATACATAAACACATAAAAATTGACTTGATAAACCAAGTTTCCATCAAATAACCCGCGAAACATTATCTTGTATGCCCAACATACTAAACATACAATATAATCCAAAATATCCATTTTTTAGGTCAATGTATGATAGATGAGAATTCAAGGTACATGAGTTGCACATAAATGCTAAACTAAAGTAAAGGCACTGTAGTAACAACGACACTATACAGTCAAACATGTTTTTATAAAAACATTTGAGGTTGACTCATCGTAAGTTGTGCTCATATCATGTAAGTACATAATAAATGCACTCACCTGATATGCCTCACTATTATTATGCCTTACTATCAAAATCAGATTATTCTTACTAACATTTCATACTTAAAAATCATACTCCAAAAGTACTATTATTTTTAAATTCTTCTATAATTCATATTAACTTTTCTTTTTTATTCATATTGGGCTCTTGTCATTCATTCTTGAATTTAACTCCCAAATAAGCCCAATAGTTTCCAGCATTAAACTTTCAACCCAAATACCTCAATAATTACATATTTACCATTTAATCCACTATCTTTTTCAATGTTTATCATTTAGCACTCAAACTTTGTTAAGTTTCCAAAATGGCTAAATTTCACATTCTAACTTCAATTTTAATCCCTAAATAGTAATTTCCAACATAGTACAACAATTATTGAACAATTATACAACCCATAACTTTTTCATAATCGTTCATTTGGTCCCCTAACTTTGAGAAAATTAAATATTGGCTCAAAGAATTTTCTAAGGCTTGAAAAACCTTTCTAATATCATTTATAAGCCCACATGAAATTATTCACAATTTTCCCCATCATGTTCCTCAAGGTCGAATAGTTTATGTACCCAAGACTAGGGTTTTCATTATTTTACTCGATTTTGATTAATTCAAGCATAAAATCAACCTCGATTCAACCTTATACAATCTCTACAATCAAACACCTAATAAAATTTTATCATAACATAAACTTCCTCCAAGATTAGGGTTAGGCCAAAATTACCCATAGCTTATATAGGCATGTATAATTGATTTTAATCATAAATCATGCTTGGAATTGATTCTACAACCTCAAAAACATCAAAATCCATTATCAATTCCATAAACCATAGAATTTGGGATCTTTGAACGCAAACAAAATTAGCAAGCAATAAAGGTACCAAGTGATAGCATTTTTCGAATAGAAGAATTTTCTATTTCATGGCATGTCCAAAATCCAAAGGAATTTGCTAAAAAATGAAAAAATAAAATTTCTCTTACCTTGTTCATGGGGAGTACGAAATGGAGCTAAAAAATAGCCTAAGTTTCATGTAATTTCATGTTAATTTAACATTTATTTAGCTTAAATAAATAAAATATTCATTTAATGAGAAATGTCCATTTTGTTATTAATGAAACTTCATAATTACCATCCAACCAAGCCACGTCAACCTTATCATCTTCCAAAAGTCGAAGATGAACAAATTATTTTACCTTTTTCCAATTTTACCAAGCAACTTTCTAAAAATTACAATCTTGTCAGTTTAATCCAAAGGTGAAAATTAAACATGAAAATAAATCTTCAAATCCAATGATCCATATTATTTTCCATCATTTTAAAATAAGGAAATAATATTTTCAAGCCTAATTTAGCACCCTTCAAATTTTCTCAAAAATTCTATTCGATCCGGTTATCTGGATTTTTCTCGAATTTTATCGCTTTTAATACAAAATCCGTACGAAACTTTTGATTCCCACAGAAATATCATTCTAGGGGTAAACTATTCATTTACGGGGCTGGATTACATAAAATTTTAAAATTACACTTTAGTCTCTAAACTTTTCCAAAGTTTATAGTTTTGCCACTTAACTTTCAAAATTTATATTTTGGTCACTAACAAAATTTGAGGTATTATAACTCTCCCCTTAATAAAAATGCATCCTCGAATTTTGAGTGTGTACCTGATGTGAAGAGGTGAGGATATTGACTTTTCATGTCCTCTTCTCTTTTCTCAGGTAGCTTCCTCGACTTTATGATTCTACCAAAGAACTTTGACTAAAGGGATCGCCTTGTTTCGTAATTATTTGACTCCTCTAGCTAGGATCTCATTAGGTTCCTCTTTATAAGTCAAATATGGTCAAATTATATTTCCTCTAGGCTGATAATATATGACGGATCTGATCGATACTTCCTGAGCATCGACACATGAAACACATTATGGATTTTGTCAACTTCGGGATGCAATGCTAACTGATAAGCCACTGGTCTAACTCTTTCAAAATCTAATAAGGTCCAATAATTCCTGGACTCAGCTTTTCTTTGCGTCCAAACGCAATACTTTATTCCAAGGTGACACCTTAAGAAATACCTTATCACCCACTTGATATTCAATCTCTTTTCTCTTTAGGTCTGCATAAGACTTTTGTTGATCAGAAGCTATCTTAAGATTATCTTGGATAACTTTCACTTTATCTTCCATTTCTTTCATCAAGTAAGGGCCTACTAGATCTTGATAATTTAGCTCAAACCAATTTAATGGAGTTTTACACTTCCTCCCATATAAGGCTTAATACGGAGCCATCTTGATACTCTATTGATAGTTGTTATTGTAGAAAAATTCCACTAAAGGAAAATATCTTTCCCATTATCCTTTGAATTCAATCACACATGTCCTTAGCATATCCTCCAATATCTGAATAGTCCGCTCTGACTGACTATCAGTCTGTGGATGAAAAGTTATGCTGAAATTCAATCAAGTACCTAAGGCCTCGTGCAAGGAATTCCAGAATCGCAAAGTAAACCTTGAATCTCTACCTGATACTATCGAAACATGCACTCTATGTATCTTATCTATCTTTTTTATGTACAGCACATCATATTTATCCATCAAGTAGTTTGTTTGAACTGGAATAAAGTGAGTTGTTTTGGTCAATCTATCAACAATCACCCATATTGAGTTTTTCTTGTTGGGTGTCAAAGGTAGCCCTATAACAAATTCCATAGTGAATCATTCCCCTTTCCATTCAAGAATCAAGATTCATTGCAACAATCCGAAAGGCACTTGATGTTCAGCTTTCACTTATTGGCATGTCAGACACTTTGCCACATATTTCGTGATAGCTCTTTTCATGCCAGGCCACCAAACTGACTTTTTAAATCTTGGTACATTTTGTTTCCACCTGAATGCATAGTAAATGGACTATAATGCCTCAAAAAGAATATATTTCTTTAGTTCTTCATCATCGAGAATACAAAGTCTCCACGATAATACAAACATCTTTTCCTTTATAATTCTCTTATCCTATCTAAAATCATCATCTTTAACTTTAACTCGATAATCAAGGCGTCACCTTTCTTTAAAGACAAACACGCATCCAAAGCTCTCAAGGCTATAAAATTCTTTCAGTTAAATGCATCAACCACCACATTAGCCTTTCCTGGATGATAGTCAATGATCATATGATAATCCTTTAAAAGATCTATCCATCTTTTTTCTGTCTTAGTGTAGACACTCATTTTCGTTAATATTTTTTATTTTTATTTTATACATATATATCTATATATCTATATATTTATTATATAGTTTTTAAAAAAACATTTTTGAAATACGTATAATATATAGTTTTAAAAATATTTTTTTGAAATTATATATTATATGGTTTTAAAACATTTATTTATTTATTATTATTATTAATATTTTTATTTTATTTTTTATAGGCCCCGCCCACTACCCCGCCATTATCTCCACCACTTTCACCACAAATCACGTGGGTTTTGTTTTTCATGGGAGTTGTGGACCACTCCTCGCTCAAGCCCATTGCTCTCCACTTTCAAAGGACTTTTAGCATTTTTTTTTCAATTTAAAAGGGGACCTGCACGAAGGAAAAAGGGGGTGGGAAATCTGAAAGAAGTCTCGGATGAACAATCTATCAACTTCAATGATTTCTTCATCTTTCTCTGTTTTCTTGGTTCCAATCAGTTTCAATTCAAGAACCCATAATGTTTCGGTTCCACTGAAAAGACTCCGTATAGTTAAATGTATAGCCACTCCTCAAGAACAACAGACTGCTTACAAGGCAAAGGTTTCTCGCAATACGAACATAGCCAAGCTTCAAGCTGGTTACCTGTTTCCAGAAGTTGCTAGAAGAAGGGTTGCACACTTGCTAAAGTACCCGAACGCACAAGTGATTAGCCTTGGAATTGGTGATACTACTGAACCTGTTCCAGATGTTATTACTTCTGCAATGGCTATGAGATCTCATGCACTGTCTATGATGGAGGGTTACAGTGGTTATAGAGCTTAACAAGGTGAAAAAGCATTGAGAGCAGTCATTGGTCTTTCAGAGTATGAATTTAATACTGCTTGCATAACTAAACTTTTCCCAACTCATTCACATACCGTTACAGCTTAAGTTTCTAGACCTTTGTTGCTCGTGGTTATGTGTTATATTGTTGCTATTATTCAGGGCATGCATGTGTACGGTTACTATAGATTAATGGGACTCACGGTTATAGATTTTATGGGCATATTGGTTCTATGATTTAGTGGGTTTATATAGATCGTACTTGTGTCTTGCTATTTTTTCCTTCCTCATCACGGATATTTGGGTGGTTTGCACAATAATTGGTGTTCTCTTCTCCAACTTAGATTGAGAATGAATTTCAATTTCCATTACTGTGGATTGTTGACTTTTCTTATAGTTCTTTAAAGACAGTAACTTATCACTCCTATACTTTTATATTTGATCTACTTTTGTCTTTTTCATTTTAAAGTGCAATACACGGGTATTTGAATTTCTTATTTTGAAATTGCTTTATGAGATAAGCCACACTTCTCCATATTTCACGATCTAACCTTGTTTTAAATTTTTTTGGGTAATTTCAAACGATCAAAGGTAATTATTTAAAATTAAAATTTTTAAATATTTATTTAATTTTTTTAATTTTCGTAATTAAGACAACCGATAAATTAATTAGTACCGAGAGGACGGTACAAGGGTGCTAATCCTTCCTTGACTGTAACCGACTTCCAAACCCGACACGTTTCTGGTAAAACATAGATCAGGTAAGATGGTGTCGATCCACCTAAATGTTTTTAAAGTGATCGGTGGCGACTCCAATTCGTTTAATCCAAGTCAAAGCCCAATTTCGCGGGCCCAATCGAAAGACGATTTCGACAGCTTGGTGACTCCTCTGGGGACAGGTAAGTGAGTCAGGCCGAAATTAATTTTCAGTTGTCTTTTTGAGTGAAAGTTATAAATTTAAATTTAAATTTATTTATTCGATTCTAATTATCTACCTTTGATTATTTTTCAAATAAATAGTTGTACTGACAGTTTTTTCAATGATTTCAGATTTTTTTAAAGAAAAAGTTTAATCTCAGGCTCTATACCCGAGCTCCAAACCCTATTTAAGTGGGGTGAAAGCGACGCCTTCGTGTGAATTTATTCACCGTGCGGGCCTAGCAAGTAACCTTTGGGATTCATATACCTTATGTCTTCGTGTGAATTTATTCACCGTGCGGACATAAGGGAATGTTTCCTCTCGAGTTTAACTTAGTCCACACAAGCTTGTAATGGGTTTAGGACTAAGGGTCTAGCAAGCCCAAGGGGGCACTGGCAAGGAGAACTTGAGTACCCTCTTTAGAACCTAAACTGGGAGAGTACAGGGAATTAGAGCCCACCCCAAAACCTCATTTCAAACCCTAGGCTACTTTGATTTTATTTCCTGCTTTACTTTCTGTTCAGAGCATGCGAACTAGGAAAATATGCGGTTAGGATTTTTTTGAAATTAGCATGGGGATAGAGACTATGTCCGGGTAGGAATTAAAGAATGTGGAGTAGATATCATGTGGGATAGGATTTTTCATTTTTATTATTTTGATTTACCTCACTAACTCTTTTCATTTTTGTTTTCTTTATTTTATTTCCATCATCTGCATCATTCAAAAGAGGTGTTGATCCACCTAAAACGTGTTTGTTAAAAATGAATAATCTGCATTAATGGACAAAGGGGTTGTAATACAAGAGATGAAAATGCAGAGGAAAGTCTACAAGGCGACTATGTATCACATTCAATCCAGAAAACGTGGTGCCCACAATTGAAGAGTTTATCACTCTGTTGCATTATAAAGGACTCAGAATGAACCGGGTCTACATCAAGCACAATGAAAGTCTATCTTTGAAGAACTGACTGGCAAAGGTTGCAGGGGCAAGACGAGTAAAAGGTTACTGACCCGGATGCTCCTTTCAAAAACTATGAGAACAAGATGGCAAAACCCTATCTGAGCTGAATGCCATTGCTGACGAATTCAAGAAGCAAGCTTCGGATAGTTTGTATCGATGGAGGGCTCCAATGGTGTTGTCGTTAGGGAACAAACTCAGCAGAGTGTGGAAACGGGAGCTGCAGTCCTTCGAGACTTTTTTTTGGCAAACAACTCATCATTTGCGCGGTTCATCCAGAGAAGCCAGAGCTGTTCGACAGGTTATTCAACCGGTGACAGACGAAGACAGAAGACTAGTCAACATGTCAGAAGCTGTCAGGATATTTTTGTCTCTTAAAAGATAAAACACTTTTGTCCCCAATGATGATTATTTATAATAACAAATACATTTTTGGATCAATGCCTTTAACGTTGCATGCATCATGCATTCCTGCATATTTCACATTATTTTTCTCTTTTTTATTACATTCACATGTCTCATAAAAAATGGGAACATTTTAATTCTATTCCCAAGACTTACAAGGAACTTTACAAACAACTTGTGACACCCACGTAGAGTCACCATACCCAGTGAAACCCATGAGCCCCCATACTCCAGGTAGTATGACGAGAATGCTCATTGTGAATATACGGTGGTGTCCCAGGGCACACAATTGAGAACTCTTACGCATTCAAGAGAATCGTATATAAGATGCGTAACCAGAACTGGATCGACTTCAACAACTTGGGGCATCCAAGTAAGGAAGATCATTTCATCATTTGAGGCATTCTGTTTGAATTTGTTTTTTCATTTTTTCTCAAGTTTTGTAAGGACTTTTAAATAAATTTATGTTACTTTAAAGATGTTAAGCAATGAATCACATTTGCAAACTTGCAATTCTTTGAATATCATTTGAATTAAGAAACTCTGTAAATGGTTCAAAGTTACATATCATTGACGAACTAACATGATTTAAAACAAGGAATTTGACTTTACCCATAATATACACTCAAACACCATACCCTACTCTTGCAATTAACCAATATAACCTTTTCCTTTCATAAGGGGAGGATAATAGTGGGCATCCTTTTGCATATGACATTATTATACTTTTTATTTAAGACGTTTAGTGATGATAATGATCTTCACAGATGGAATAGTCGAGTAAGTGAATATAGTTTAGGTCAGTTGCTTGAAAATTGAACTCTAAAGATGAAATTTTTACTTTCAACAAACACCTAGACTATAACAGGTTCTTCTTGACAATCTTAAGAAATTAAATTCGCAAAGCTGGGCTATTCCACTAAGGCAATTGGTTACAGAGGAAACTCAAAAGCCCTGGCCTTATGAATAGATTGCATTCAAACCATGACATTGCTCAGACACTTGGTAATTCGGTGTTTGCTCCACTATTTTTGTTAGGTCGAAGACTTTGTGATGAGATGAACCCTTCAGTTAAACCTGATAAAAGTGATTATAATGTTAAGTTATCCCTCTAAAGAAATTGGTTAAACACCCCGGCTTTATGGATTTGCTAGCCAGACAATGGTAAATTAAATCAAATTTATCTAAGCAAGAAATTTTCGGTAATGATGGACTAAGGGAGTTAAGGAACACTTGTTATAGTCAATTACACACGAGCACTCAAGAATATCATTTTTAGACCAATTTTTTTTTGCACTGCCTTTGTTAGAGGAGCCTACAAAACTTGAACAAATGGAAGATTTCAGAGGACCAAAATAAAAGGCCTAGTAATTGATCATGCTAGTTGCGCCATTTTTTCCGCACCCAATTGAAATGCCAAAGCATATTGCGATATTTAAAAAAATGACATTTTGGGTTACCGAAACCTTAAAAAGGAGGCCAACCTAAAGCCAACTCATCCATTTGAACATTTGTCAAAGAGCTGTTACTTTGAAAACATTCAAAGAGCTCTTGATTCCTTTGATATTCTTTGAACTCACGTTTACAATTTGATTCAATTGCGAACAATATTTTACAGCATTTTTATCATTTTCCCTCCTAACACAAGAAAAAAGAGAAACATTTTCAAACAAAACAGTCTCAGATTTGAAAGGTCTGTAAAGCCAAAGCTTGAAAAGATAATGGGACACGATCGATTCCAAGGACAAGATTGGTAGACAAAGCACGAGACTCCATCTAGGAGATAACGCATAACTCATTCATGTTGCATGCATCTTAAGCATACTTAAGAGCATCACATTTATTATTTTGCGCATGCATGATTTTTTTACAGCTTTTAGAGTCAAGTTTTGACTTCAAGGTGAAGGATAATCGATTCAAAAACACCTTTAAAGATCGATGGTGGTTGCTTAACTCAGCAGTGAGAAGCTATACCTCAACCGACTTGACATATCTATAGATTTTAAAATCAATTTCAGATAGGTTCGAGAACCAATTCAGATTAATTCCAGTTTAGCTCAACTCAGCAAAGAGCAGCATGTTTCCAGTTAATGTCTTCAAGCCAGATTTCAATTCCACAACGGAAGATATTCGACTGTCAGAATTTATCAGTATGTTTTTTCGTAAAAGGGGAGTCATCCAAAGATCGTATCATTTGGTTTAGACTCACTCAGAGGAACCACCTGAAGAACTATGATCGACTTAGACCTGTGAATATAAGCCATTTTTTAAGACAACATTTGCAACATAGCTCAAGGCAAGAAGGGCTATTTGCCAACAAAAGTCCTTCGAGTTCGACTACGCTCAGCTCCAAGGCACATCATTTGCAGTATAGCTTAAGTCGAGAAGGGTTATCTTCCAACCAAACACCTTCGAGTTCGACTACGCTCAGCTCCAAGGCACATCATTTGCAGCATAGCTTAAGTCAAGAAGGGCTATCTGCCAAAGA